AGGTAGTAAATATTTCAGGCTCCATGGGCCATATACTGTCTGGCAACTACTCAGCTCTGCCATAGCAGAGTGAAAGCTGTCGTCAGTATGTAAACACACGAATGTGGCTGTGTTCCAGTGAAACTGCATTTACAGAAACAGAGAGTGACTGTGATTTGGCCCAAGAGCCATCTATGCTTTGCTGACCCCTGATCTAACATGGCTCTGTGAAGACTTTGGGTGGGTTGAATGACAGTGTCTGTTTCATGGAAATTGATCTGTCTGTGTTGACACTGGAGGGCCTCCAAATGCAGTCTTTGTACTTCCTCTGCTCTTTATATTACAGACTCAGGACTTTAAATAGCAACTTTATGCTGACAACTTCCCAAATTTGTATTTCCAACCTGGACCTTTCCGTTCAACTCCAGATTCATCAACCTAACTGCCTATTTGGATGTCTCACAGACACCTCAAACTTGACAGGTCCAAAGCTGAACTCCCGACCCCCTGTGCTAACATCTTCCACTCTCTCTATCCTTTAGTTGTTCAGCCCAAACAAAACCCTGAGCTCATCCTCAACACCTCTCTTTCTCTTACACCCCACATCCAATCAATCAGGAAATACCTTTATCTTCAAAATCTATCTAATCTATATCATTTTGTTCTTGGATTATTTAAGTAACTTCCTTACTGATCTCTCTGTTTCCAAACTTGCCTCCCTGGAGTCCATTCCCAATATAGTAAGCAAGAGGGATCATTTAGAAACCCACATCAGAGCATGCCAATCTTCTGCTCAAAACCCTCCAATGGCTCCCCAGCAAGGCCCTCCATATCAACTTCCAGCCTCTTCTCTGGCCTTACTTCCTATTGTTCTCCCCCTTGCTTACTCTTTTCTAGCCACTCTGGCCTTCTTTATTGAGCACCCGGACCTACTCCTACCTCAGGGCCTTTGTACTGTTGGTTCTCGCTGCTGTATTCTTCTCCTAAATGCACACATAGCCTGCTCCCTTAAACATCTTTACTAAAATGCTACCATCCCAACTAGAGGGATCTACTCTGACCACATTATTTAAAACTTCCAGCTCTCCATTCCCATGGTCTTTATCCTCTTTTAACATGCTATCTTATTTACTGTGTTTATTGTCTGTTTCTCTCCACAACAATACAATCACAATAGGGTGAGAATTGAGTCCTCTTTACTGCTGAATCACCAACACATAGAACAGCATGTGGCAGGCATTTGATAAGTATTTGTCAAGTGCACTGAACACTGAAAATTGTGTAACTGACCAGACCATTCTACCGGCACTGGTTAAGAGAAAGCATTGAGCAAAGCTTGTGGCCAGTCTTTAGTGAGGAGGCAGATATGCAGGATAGGCATTGGCCTTATTTCCGGCTCTGTTTGATTTTACTTTTTCTTTCTTACCTATACTTCTCCTGTACCTTCCGAGATAAGGCAGGGGAGGCACATACAAAGACATTCATAGTGTCAGTTTTATCATTTACATTTCAACAGTGTGACCACATGTTCAATTCTGGTTATCAGCTAATGGGTAAGAGTGAACATTTCTCTTAGTGGATATTATGTGCCAGGCATATGCTAAATGCTTTTAAAGAACTAGGTCATGCACATAACGATGCAACAATGTATACGCTTTAATCATCTTCCTTTTTAGACATTAACAACAGCAGGCTTAGGATGGGTTACGTAACTTGTCTACAGAGCCATATTGGTAGGTGGTGGCCTTGGAGTCAGATTCCAGATCTGTTAGCTGCCTGGGTGTGGATCTGCTACCTTTTGCTGCTATGCTTCATTGGTGTTTATCCTTGCCTCTCTTCTCCCCAATGTAGTGTTAAATGACCTATTTTTGGACTATTCAAGCTTTTTATATCCATTAACTCGGATTAATTGTGTGGATGGACTTATTGTCCCTGTAAAGTCATGCTAAGTGGAGAAAAACAAATATCTCCTCTCTGAAACAATGAGTTAAGAGCTAAGAAATAGAACAGAGCTTCTTCACCCCACTGAATATCTCCCCCCGCCAAATAATTGCTCATACAGGGTGTGCATTTTTCTTCTCGGGAAACATCAACGTTTTATAATAATGGGATGTGTGCCTCAAAGCATCTTTGTGGCACTTAGGTTTGCCACCGTGTTGTGTGCGATAGTCACAGAGGTGACCAGGTGAGGGGGGGCGCACTATGGGGGTCAAGAGGCTGGTGAGGGTGTGGCCAGTGGGGTTCAGTCAAGCCCCAGGTAAGTCATTGTCCCAGTCCTCAAAATGAAAAGCTTAAACTGGATGACCTTGAAGGTGCTTTTCAGTTCTAAATTTCTAATATCCTAATCCCTGAGCTTGGGTGAGATGTGTCTCCTCTATGTTCTCATGACAATCCCTACCCGTGCTTCTTCCAACCAAGCCCAGTCTGTGCTAACCCTGCAACCCCAGTTTCACAATCTTGGACAGTGGGAAGTCAAGTGCCTCTGGTTCTCTGCCTGTCCCCATCACCTTGGGCAGAGCTGAGAAGGTAGGAGTCATTTGATACATATTTGTTATGTGAATTAATGAATGAATACAAACAATCATACATGTGTTGACTTTCTCTCTGTTGACTTGAGTTTGTTCTCCGAGCCATTTTGGCAGCTTTTAGGCTTCCTCCAATCTCACACTGAGTTCTTGTCTAGTTGGTCACTCAACAGGCAAAACACCACTGGACGAGAAGCTGGAGGAGGCTGGCTGCCAACTGCCCATCTCAGAGGCCAGGATAATGATCAGGCTGGTTCATGGGCTCCACCCCACTTTAATTGCTATAGTTTCTGACAAGTCTTCATGACTTATTGCAACTATACCAAGAGCTCTAGTGAGCTGCGGTGCTTTTCAGTCCTGTGGCCAAATGATGCTGCCAAGGCTACATACATACCCAAGATTTCCTTTATATTTGTATGGCTCCCCCTTATGTAATAAATGTAAAGATAAGAGCTTCTTGTAATCAAGAGAATACTTCAGAATGTCACGGGCAGAGCCTCAGGAGATAAAGATATGAGGCCAAAAACAGGTGCAAGGGATTCACACTTCACATGTGGTTAACATTTCTACTTAGAATAAAGTCATGGTCAAACATTAATTAGAATCCCTTGGCCTCAACTGAAGTAGTCTCTTAAAGTCTCCCTTTAGGCTTTAATAATTGGTGTCAAAAAATAAGTTTCCTCGTGTTTACACATCCGCTGAAACAAACCTTATGAAATCCAACATTTCAGGACTGTAGGCCCTGGGATGGGGTGAGGCAGAATTGTCCCCCTCTGCAAATAAGAAACTGTGTCTCTGAGGGGTCAATCATTTATGTGAGGGGCTTTCTTTCTGGTAGGACTAGCTGGACCCTCTGGCTGAGGACCAGTGGCAAAGCCCTGGCAATGCCTGCTGCACAGCGGGCTGGTGCTCAATGCAGGTGTGATTCAAGTCTCACGATGCGAGCCAAAGACCCTCAGGAAGTGCTTCTCTCCCTTGCACCTAAGGTCACCCTCACTAACATCTGCAGTTCCGCTCCACAGTCTCTAACCGTGCTTCTTAGGGCCTGAAAATAAACACATAGTAGACAGCTTGGCTTTTGTCTTTTCAGACCTGTGAACTTTCTTTTTCTTAAAAAATTTTTAAATGTTTATTCATTTTTGAGAGGCAGAGACAGAGTGTGAGTGGGGGAGGGGCAGAGAGAGAGGGGGACACAGAATCTGAAGCAGGTTCCAGGCTTTGAGCTGTTAGCACAGGGGGCGTGAACTCATAGACCACAAGATTATGACCTGAGCTGAAGTCAGACACTCAACCAACTGAGCCACTCAGGCACCCTGACCTGTGAACTTTCTTAAACCTCATCTTAGTCTTGCACTTTGCAAAGGAGCTCTGATGGGGTGGACAGAGCATTGGTTGAGGGATCGGTGGGCTGGAGTTAAAGTCCTGGCTCCTCACCTCTCTGGTCTATACCTGCTCCTTGAATGGGAGTAAGATCTACCTACTTCATATGGATGTGAGGAAATGAAATAGCGGGAGGGGCTGCTTTGCAAACTGCCAAGCATTAAAAAGGCCAAATATTTAAGAGTAAAAGACAGAAAGAGGGGTAGAAAGAAAAAGGATGAGACAGAGACCGAGAAGGTTAATGTCATAATGACACCTATACTGTAGGTTTGCTTCACCAAAAGTTCAGAAGAAGCTGTGTCCAGTCTTCTGCAGGAAGAATGAGAATAAATATCACTTTCCTTACCACTCCCTGCCTTTTCTCCTGTTTGCTTCTGTATAAATTATAAGGGTAACAAAACTGACCTGGCTCTTAGAAAAAGACAAGGGAAGATCAATAGGCCAGTTCTAAGAAAAGATGAATCAAAAAAAAAATCCCCAAAACAAAACAGTCTCTGTGTTGGAGGTGCAGAGCATCCCCAAGATAGCGGTATGTGAAACAGCAACTGGTGCTGCAAAGTCCTATAACGAGAGGGCCTGCTTCCTCTCCTTCTCAGACCTGCAGGCTGATGGGCAAGCAGGTGATGCACGATGTTCTGCCACGAGGCAAAGCTGAGGGGGCAGGGAGAAGTGGATCTCTCTCTTCCTCTCAATCTGTCTCTTCCACCCAGGACTTCAGTGTTCATATTGCCCGGATTATCAGTGGCCCTTGCTCTTGTCAATCAAAGGGACCTACCGAGAATAGCTACACAGGCAAAAAAATTTTGTCCCGGGTGTTAGGAAAGGTTCCCCCCCCCCCCACTTTTCGACTGTGAATTCTCAGAGGACTCGTCAGTCACCAGGCCACTTCCTGGTTTCGGTCCTGCTGCCAACACTGTGCCCGCCTTCCCCTCAGCCGGCCCTGCCTAGCCTTCCTTCCTCAGGGAGCTGCTGAGACTTGAGGAACCCAACTGACATTGCCTGGAGTGTCTTTTGTTGGCATTCTGTAAGGATCTCACGACACAGCCCACAACAGGCCTTCAGACCAGAAGTGTTGGGTCAGAGCCTGCGAGGAGACAGAGGACAGCGGTTACTTACAAAATCGGGCGAGACTGGAAATCTTCCTGGTTCATCCTCTCAGACTGGCGGATTTTCAGGATCTCGGTGTAGCTCAGGTTCTGCAGTTTGCACTTGAACTGATCCAGGGAGCTAGGCTTGGTTGTGAGAGCTCTCATAACCTGCTCCTTCACCACCTGCATTACCTGTAGATGAAAGAAAGACCATAATTTTCCTGGGGGCCGTCCTTGCCCATTGGAAAAAATCTTCTAGAGATAATGGCTCCCTACCTCCCTGCCTCCCTTGACTTGCACTCTCTGCCCAAACCTTGAGAGTGCTTTTCCAAAGAGTAGACTACCATGATGTACATCTTCAACTTTGTCTTGTACCTGTAGAACCACAAGGAAGGAGACGGATGGACTAACTTGGGGTTGGGGATGAGAGGCCTGGCCGGGAGGAGTGGTCCATTTGCTTAATATATTACATGTCTGTGCTGAAGCCAACACCACAGACAATGCAAACTTGAAAAGCAAAAGAAGTCCAAGCAGCAGTGAGGACTCTGCATTACCGTTATTTTTTCTGGAAGAATATCACTGAGACACAATCAACTGTGGAAGTTTGGTTGGCACCGGTTCAAATGAATGTGAAACGATACCCACACTGGCCCCTCCCAGAATGCTTTCCCCATGTAGTTAAGGCCTGAGTGTTCATACAAACGAGGGATTTGAAAATGCACACATGCCTTCTTGAGCCAGGCACAAAAAAAAAAAAAAAAAAAAAAAAAAGAAGTCTATTAAATAGAACAGACATATCCCACTGGAAGCCTCAAGAAAAAAGAATATGGTAATGTGCTATCCAGCCCACAAGGAGGCAATTAAACATTGCCTCCATTAATGTGGATTCATCTTCATCAGAATTTATAAAGCAGGGAAGGACTAGCGAACACAGAGGCATCCAAGACACTTGCAGTAATCTCCCTGCTTCTTTTTTTATCCTCTACTGCAAATGAAAACAATTGTTACCATTGACAAGGTAGTTACTATGTGCCAGATACTATGCTGGTGCATTATATATGTTCTCTCTCTTAATCCACTCAAATTTATGAGTTAGATGTGATCATCATTCTACTTAGATATAAAGAAACTGAGGCTTTGAAATATTCAGTAACCAGTTCAAAATCCTCTGACTGGTTGGTGGTGGATGAGTTGGGATTTGAACCCTACGGTGTGAACACTCTACTACACTGCCAATCATGCCACCATCCTTGGGGTCAATAGGTAACTTAAAAATACGAAAAAAATCACAAATGCAACTCAATTCTATGCTAGATTTTGTGCCAGGCACATTTTTTATTCATCATCTCATTTAATCTTCCTTCCAATCCAGCAGAATAGGTGTTATTACCACTCCTTTAAAGATGAAGAAACTGAGACTGAATGATGGAGGACTTATCCAAGGCTACACATATCTAGCCTTCAATGGCACCAAGCAGTCCAGTATGGTGCATACAGCAGGCACTTGATGGTGAACAGCCCTGGGGTGCCATGTGTGTGCCTTCATCACTATGAATGTGATCCCAGTATATTCCTTATGGCTTCTGATCAGTTCTTTGTTGAATAAGTGATGCATGATAGGTACTTGGTAATTGCTCACTGACTAGTCCTACACCAAGATGACATTTTCATGAAGTTTTATTGTAATAGAGGTAACAGTTTTACAGCATGGAAAAGATTGTGGCAAACCTGAACTTCCAAATGTGCCTGAGTGCTAGGTGATGGGAGAATCTCACCGCCTTAGAAAATACTACGCAGCTAAAACGTCCTCTAAACACTTAACAGCTCCTTGTACTTGCTGAGCTTTTTGATGGTGTGGGTTGCTAAGCAATCTGCTCAGGTTTCTTTCTCCAAATATATGTCTCTCTTATAGCTGTCCTGTCCACATAAGGACCCGTTCAGTGACCTGCAGGGGTCTAGAGGACACTGGGAGGTAGCATATCCTCCTTGATAGTGGAACTAAACTGGCCTTCAGGAAAACCTGGGGGCTTCCCAGTAGAAGTCAGGTGACCCCAATGACATGAGTCCCCTACCTCAGGTATGCCAGGTGTCCTTACTCTTTACTCATCTGCTGACCCACTGCTTTTAGTGCCCCCATGTTCCAGGCATCCCAGGTCAGGCATATTTTCCTTTAGTCAATTGAAAATGGCTGAACTGAAGAGAAGATGAGTCATAGGTGACAGGAATAAAAACAAATCTATCTATTTTTCAAGTGATATCAACCCTCACTTTTCCTTATATGCTTCTGACATTTAGGAACCCAAGTTCACAATGAGAAGAACCTCCATTAGGTAACATATTTGCATTTTCAGGAGGACTTTCTGGGAGGTAGTGTCTTATCACAAAATGGCAGGAAATTTCAGGAAACTACAGAAGAAAACTTGGAGGATGACAGATCTCTGTCATGTAGTCATGAATCTGCTTTATCCCGTAGGCACCACAGAGGTCCTGTGTGCCACAGCTGCCCTATGAAGGGGAGGGGTGGTTGCTGGTGACAGCAGTGGTTTAAAGACATGAAGGCAACTGTCCTTTTTTTTTAATATGAAATTTACTGTCAAATTGGTTTCCATACAACACCCAGTGTTCATCTCAACAGGTGCCCTCCTCAATGCCCATCACCCACCCACCCTTCCCTCCCACTCCCCATCAACCCTCAGTTTATTCTCATCCTTTTGGACTCTGATTCATGAATGTTTCTAGGACCATGGCTGGGTCATGCAGTCTAACTCCACTGGTAACCAGCTTACCATAAAGCAGAAAATAGTGATTTGAAGCAATTATTACAAAATTGCATGAGAAGCATTACTTACAAAGTCAATACAACAAACATCCCTGAATACTCATCATGTGTCTATACTGGGTGAGGCACTAGGAATTCAAAGATGAATAAGGTATGGCCCTTGCCTTCTGTGAACTAACAGTGTAATAAGAGCTAGACATTAGACACAGGCAATAATTGTTACAATAGAAGTGTGGATGTGATAGAGAAGACAGACTGGTGGTCTCTGGGGCAGACAGGGAGGCATTTCAGAGCAGACATTATATGGGTTTTGCAGGAAGAGTGGGTGTTCAATGCTGTGGGAAGAGATGAATAACCTGAACATGACACCTAATTAACCCCTTTGAGCCTGGGCTGCATCTGAATTGGAGCCAGTTACATAAGCATCGTTTCATGCCCCCAGCAAAATGGAATAAAGGAAAATTTCCAGTTGACCTTCCACCTGATCTGCTGTTTTTTTTTACTCAAGAAAAATGCTAAATTTGGGATGCTTGACAAATTTTGAAAATTGTGACCATCTTATATTATGTGGCATAAATGGTGGTTAAATTTGGTCAAGGTTGAACTATAACAGTTTGCTGTTTCACGAGTGGGGCATCACAGGAGCTGTCTGTCCCCTTCCCCATTTAGAGAAACTCAGAGTCAAACCAAGGAGATAATTATCATCTCCCAAAGTTATTTGACCCTCATGTGGGAGGTAGAGGACATGTAAGAGAGACTAAGAGCGATTAGAATACCAAAAATGAAGAAGCCGTTTTTAAATAGAATCAGGTTAAAGCTGGGGAAGTTTTAGAGACATCTCCACTTCCCTAATTTTATAGATAAGGAAAGAGGGCCAGGGGATTCTCCTACTTTTTGCATTTCTTAAGAGGCTGTCACAGAGATGACAGTCACCAGACCACATATGATTAGACACAATGATTACACTACTAAGCGGTCATGTGACCTCAATTGACCAATCAGCATCCTTGCCAGACTTCTGACTTGATGTGAAGCAGAACTGAAGCATGCTCTTTTCTCCTAAAATTGACAACTGCAACACTGTCCCTTAACATGCAGGAAGAGTGGGAGATACTAAGACTGATTTCGTTCAAATTAGACAGAAGAAAGGTGTGTGTGTGTGTGTGTGTGTGTGTGTGTGTGTGTGAGAGAGAGAGAGAGAGAGAGAGAACGTGCTAATGGTTAAATTATATTCAACCATAATGTTAAATCAATCCTGACATTTGCTGGTTTTGTTACATGAACCTTTTTTTTCCCCATTTGAATGGAATTCTTGTCACTTACAACTTAAGATCTCAATGAATACATATAATGAAGTCAAAGAGGAATACCAGCTTATGGGTTGGAGGTTGCCCAGACTGGGGAAAAGTAGGAGAAGGAAGATGGATAGAAACAACAAAGGTGCTTTAATAAGAAATACATTTTAAAAATCATCCTCATTTATATGCACATGGTTGTACCTTTGCATGGAAATGATGATAATCCCTTACGGTGGTCTGGGAAATTCTTCAGCTCCTACTTCAATCGTATGCTTAAAATCTACTGTTAAGAGTTTCAATTCCTCTAGCTTAAGACTTTGATCTTTTGCTAGATGTAAGAATCCATAAGTGGTACAATCTTTTAAATTCCCAACAATCACTTATGCTTCAATTTAAAAGAAAACACATACCATTTCCTAAGAGTAGGTTGATAGGATAAGAAAAAAGATAAGGATAAGCCAAGGGGCACCTGGCTCCAGGAGAAGGGGTGCAAGTGGTTGGTATGGGTACAGCATAGAACAGAGGTTAGGGAAGACAAAGACTGGCTTTCCCTGATTTACTTCACAGTTTTGCTTGGCACCAGCCCTGAGAAGTTCTATGGTCACTCTGTGTGCCAAGGAAAATGACCCCAGTGAAAAATGTCATTGATTTTTTTAAAGAGACAAAATAGTTAAATAAATCAAATATTTCTCTATTCCTTTGCAAAATACTTTCCACAAAGGCTACAATTAATAATGTTAAGTCTCCAGAATGCTCTATGTGTGCAATTTAAATCAAGACATTCACAACCACCACGTTTGACTCTGTCTTCTTCGGAAAATATCAAACTTTTTATCATTGTTTGGAAAACCCACAGATGGTGTAGCAGAGGCATTAGCAAATCAATGAACTTAAAACTTCTTAATTACAGAATATGCTTTGCCACAGACAGCAAACAAAACATGCTTTTAGAATCTGCATTCACTTACTGCTATTGACCGATTATTTCATCAAGGTCAAACTGTGCCTGTGGTGTGTTTCTGGAATTTTTCCGGCACGTGTTCTCTGTGATAATGTCACATGTTACAAAAGCAGTGGCAGTTCCATAAGACATATGTACCTCAAATGGAGAAAAC